CCTGATGATATACTTCTCAAATTTGATTCATTATAATCAAAAGGTTCGAACTTATCAAACCTGTTCTGGATCTTCAATAAATCATTATTGTCTCGCTTCATCCGTGATTTTTCTAGCTCAATATGTTGTTCACTCGTTGTATGCTGGAGACCTGTGAGGATTGTCATGGCATTATGAATTTCACCACATTCATGAACACTGTGCACCCACATCAATCGCACAGATTCAGTAAATACACGACCACTAGTCAAACCACCTCTACTTTTTATTGACCGCATCATCACTTGCTCAATGATTAAATCAGTCCATAATCCTGCTCTGAACCTGTCACTTCGCCGAACCGTGTGATATCAAAGCTCTGCAAAACTGTAGTATAGTCATGGGTAATCTTTTGGCAGATCTAATATAAACTGCAGGTAAAGCCGGGAACTTTTGGCATAGTTGATGTGTCCTGTAGCAGCAAATATGTTGATCATTTTCCTGACTACAATCAAATGATGTTCCCAGTTTACAGTCCTCTCAGCTCAAATGAAGAGTTTCAACAACTCAACATATTCCATATACTGAAGCCAGAGTGTTGCAGTACGCGACTTCCCAGCTAGGTCATTTTTCAGAGCTCTCAAATTTGTCTCCATTTTTTTAGTTCTGCAAACCCCAAAATATCAGCATCTTTGGCTTTCCCAGCTCTGACTAGTTCATATAATCGAGTTAAATTTTCGGTCTCCTCATTGAAAAGTTGATTCTTGTCAGCTACAGAATCATCAATAACCAATGCAAAACTGTTTGTTGTTTCCTCATCAGCTTCGTCATCGCTGCTATTGGCACTAGAACTTTCTGGGTATTCTGTATCATCTTCTGGAACAGGGTTGTCCTTATGTTGCTAGGGTAGGAAAGGTAGGAAATGATACAAGCTTATTGGTAAGGGCAGCCTCCACCAGAAAGTGCCCTCTTAGTGCTCGTGAAATGGCTTTACCTGACATCATGAGCTGAACAGCATTTTCTCCACAGACAGTTTCCAATGCTTCTTCCAATCCTGATCCTCTCATCATAGTACCAATACTGCCATTAAATACTCATTGAAGTGTGAAATCCACCCAATCGGCAAATAATGTACATTGATTTGTTTTTTATAACATCCATAGTGGGTGATCAAATGTGATGCACTGTGTGGTAATATTTAGTTTCTTGGCTTGAGATTCAACAAACAACAGTGTTGAGTAAAGACATGTTTGGTCAGATGGCTTCAGGTCTATTATTGGTAGAAGATGGACATCTGCTTTTGTTCCAATGCTTGCATCTTGCATGAATCCAGACCAACCTGGTCTCAGATCCTTCATATTTCTGAAGTAATTTCCAGAATGCCAAACTAGATCGTACTTAAGGCCAACTGGATGACTGTATGATAAATCAAGGTTTTCAGGTGACCTAAATATGGTTGCTGACAAGCCAGGCTTACATGAACTGATATATTGGACTATCTTGACTCGTTTTTGGCAACAGCTTCATTTGTTTTCAACAATTTCTGCTTAGGTATGGAATGCCGTTGAAGTATTCTTTCAATTCCAAATGTGCCTGTTGCTCTTTCTATTACTGTACTCATTGACTCATTGATAATCGAAATTGTTGTACTTCTGAAACATACTATGTTCAATCGGCCTTCTTCTGCAAAGTACACCGAATCCTTGTATCAATCAATAAGTTTTTGCTATAGCCATTTAGCACTGTATACACTTTCGCCATCTGCAAATTCAGACATCTTTACTGCAAGTTCATTTAATGTGTGAAGCTTCTATTCTGCTTCATTCTCAAGTCAAATGCACAGCATATTGAAGAATGGTAGCATGGTAGCATCTGGTTTTCTTCCCCTGCTACTCTTATAAACCTGCCAAGATAAAGGAAGCTGCCTATTTAGCATAAACTGCGTGTGACATAGCTTATGATAGACAGCATCTGCTGCAGGTAAATCGACAACACCAATTGTTTCCACCTCTGTTGCCCATTCATCTTCTCGTATTTTGTACTGTCCACGAATAATATTTCTGAAGGGAAGAATACTTGCTTTACGGGATCTCTGGATGACGTTTGTCAATGGTTTCATCACAAAAGAAGCATTTTGTTTTCCACTGAAAATGTGCATCCCGTGAACCCAATCTCTTTGGTGTTGAGAGGTCTTTTCTATCATCAGACTGACGAAGGCTTCGTCCCTTGTTTGTATAGTCTCGTCTGCAGTTCTTGTGTACTTTGATCACAAAACTATCACCAAGAGCTTTAGATGTAAGACTGTTATACAGATATGTATCATGACGTTTTGACTGTATTCGATGAGGGGGGGCAAGTCCCTTCTTTGTAAGTTCTTTGTAAGTTCAATTTTGTCAGTTATCAAATTCCTTATGACATATCACGCAGTTCTCTCGCCCAGTTATGAGGTGGATAAGCTAGATACTATTTATGTGAATAAAAAAGTAACAAAATTATCATGTGAATTAAAATTGAGGGAAGATAGAAATCAGAATGACACAGTACTGCTCCTCTACGTCAATATGCCATGACCGGGGTAAGTTGGGTTACAGTTGCACATTTTAAACCGCGGAGGTCGTCCACAGCACGTGTGCATAACGTGTACAAAAGTCGAATCCGCGCTGCAGGACGACTGCTGCCCTTTAAATCTATTCTATGTGTTCTAAGGAGAATCAAAAGGCTCACAGATCATCTTTTTCTGACAAGGGGCCCACTTACTGTGATAATATAAGTTGTATGAGCTCCGTAAAAGATGGTGTCCAGCTAAAGAGTGAGAACATTAACTGCGCATGCGCGAAATATCATAAAATTAATAATAGCTGAAAAATTCAAATAATAGACAGAGTCATTTTTAAAAAGATCAACCAGATGTTTGTATATTTTTCCAACTTGAACTTTAAATCGGTCACATTGTAAGTCTACTTCATGTTTCAGTACCCTGTATTCAATTTTAGGCAAAACGAGTATCATTGGTAAAATTGCCAAAAAAAAATTCCCATGGGTGGATTTCGGTGGATTCTGAATATGTTACTCGGCTTAAAATTGCGCTTCCAATAGTGCCAAACTCTACTTGGTACAAATGTATTCCCGGTAAGGTCCATTTTGTTGATTTTGTAATATTGGCCTATATTTGACAGACAATATAGCGTTCCATTCGGTGAATGATGACACCCTAACATGCTGAAAACTCCGTGAATGATGACACCCTAACATGCTGATAACTCCGTGAATGATGACACCCTAACAAGCTGATAACTCCGTGAATGATGACACCCTAACATGCTGAAAACTCTATGAATGATGACACCTTAACATGCTGAAAACTCCGTGAATGATGACACCCTAACATGCTGATAACTCCGTGAATGATGACACCCTAACAAGCTGATAACTCCGTGAATGATGACACCCTAACATGCTGAAAACTCTATGAATGATGACACCTTAACATGCTGAAAACTCCGTGAATGATGACACCCTAACATGCTGATAACTCCGTGAATGATGACACCCTAACAAGCTGATAACTCCGTGAATGATGACACCCTAACATGCTGAAAACTCTATGAATGATGACATCTTAACATGCTGAAAACTCCATGAAAGATGACACCCTTACATGCTGAGAACTCCGTGAATGATGACACCCTAACATGCTGAAAACTCCATGAGTGATGACACCCTAACATTCTGGAAAATTCCATGAATGATGACTTCTTAACATGCTGAAATCCACGAAACTCCTCGGTGAAGTTCGGCTTTTGGCAAAAAAAGTCTTATGCGGATATTTTTGGAACACAATAGGTGTTACATTTATTACAGTGCACATATTATTTTACATGTCAGAGGCTTTAAACACAATGTTGTTGTCAAGAATCGACAGAGCAGAGTAATATTGACTGCATTTGGACTGCCATAGAGGGCAATGTGCCCAATCACGAGTTCCGGGTCTTTGATTTGAATGTCTGCTTACAATGAAATGAGGACTTAATATTATGTATGTAATGTATAATATAACATATGTTTTTCCTATATTGGGAGTATATGTTGGCAGATGACATATGACAATTCATGGATTTGATTGGCAAAGTGTTGCCTGCTTCTCAGTCTACACAGGGTTCTTGTCGGTGAATATTTCATCGTAAACGTCTTTGCTATTTGCATTCACAGTGTTGACTTCAATGATATTGATCTATTCTGAATCAGAGGGTTGTTTGAACTAATTTACATTTCATTCAACCGCTTTTTTTTGCAAAGTCGTTCCTACGTATGTATAACGCAGACTGTAAATTTGAGTTTATCTGTCATGGCTAGACAAACAATGACAACACTTTGAGTATGACTATGTGCTTTCAGCGCTTTCACATATTTACTTTACACTCGAATAAATCGTGATGCTTTCAAATAAAATGTTTAGAGGACTGAGATTTAAATTGTATTATAGACTAAACTTTTCTGTTAGCCCCTTGTCTCGTCAAAAATGTCGAGAACGCCTTGAAAAGTAGGTACCTGTTCCTACCGCTGTAATGCAATTGTATATTGTGTAATGTATCAATTAAATATACTATAATATTATTATATACAGCGGTATTATAATTTCATGTGTGTTCGTCACTAATGTTTGATAACAGGATTGCAATTGGCATTTGATATTTCTCCAGTTTTAGAGTTGATCCATCAACTAAAACATCTCTAATTATGTATTGTAAGACTATTCAGCCATATTTTGACCTGAGCTGTCACGGTAAACATGCAAAAATAACCCAAGCTGGTCATCAAACATAGTTCAGCTCTTCTTAAATAGATATGCAAAATAACATAAATACCTGGTTCTCCATCTCTGAAATCCGTTTATCGTAGACCGATTCGTAGCATTTGTAAATCATGTCAGCATTGCTTAGTGGTGTTAAACATCGGTGAAATGTACATGCACGAGAAATAGGCAGGCCGAATGAATTTTGAAAGTAATCTTAAAACCCACCATGTTTACAACACAAAGTTTAAACGGAACTGGACCAAACATACCTGAAACAAAGGTTTGTGACGAGTTGAAGAAAATTTGCATATGAAAAACAATAAGTCTTGTCGTCGTATCTAATGTACATTGGAGGAATTGTCTAGGACTTATGCAGTACGCTATTTTGAATCAAAGCACACACAAAACTGATGTGCATCAGGAAAAGTTCGATGTTTATTCAAAATTTGAATAAAATCGGCCGACAATCACTTATTGTGCATTTATGAGAACAGCGTAGTATAACAAAACTGTCACAAGTTATAACTTGATGTACAGTTCCCTGAGGAATTATGTAAAGGATGAATATCATGAATGCACGAGTGATGGACAAAATAGTAATGAATTACACACAATGTTCGTATATAATTTATCACACTTGAATGTAGTATCTTCTTTATATTCTGGCATGATATCCAATGATTCTATCGTAATAAAATATCACTTTTTAATATTTATATTTCACCACAATGCGAACAAAGGATTGAATCCTCGTTACGATTTATTATTTCAGATGTAATGATTTGAATAATGAGTATTATACCATAAATACACGTGTTTTGAGAACACAAATATCAATTTCATTACATAATAATAATACAATGTTTGTCTTATATTTATGTATATTCACACTCAATGCAGATTTACATGTGACATGTTTGTTTGTTTCTAGAACAGTTGATCGACAAGTCATTGAATAGGATATATTTCCCGTAAATAATCCTGCATCGAAAGCATTCACGACAAAATTGTGATCACTCAATACTAACACTGCTAAGCAATGTAATTCTGTCTTTACATGCATTACCACATTCCTTTTAACAACAGTCATGTGATTTATGACATTGGTTCTTCATATAATGTTGTAATACACGTATTCATATAGAATGTATGTGTAATACACCACTTAACGCTAAATAACGTCAAGGTGGACTGGTGCTTAAGACAAGCTGACTTGACTATAATACTAAGATTGTGTATTCCCACATACCATTTCTGTAGAATTAAACTCCTTCTCAATGTCAGAATAATGTCAATTGCCACTTAGTGCTAATAGAAAAACTATCGTTTCAGTTTGAATTGTGAAATTTGTAAATATTTATCACGATGAAAGCAACGCCTTTGTAGCGCTGGTAGTACATAATTGTTCCATCATTCATCCACAAAAATGTTACTGTCTTACTGTCTACTTTAGAAAATTATATTTGCCACTGTTTGATTTCCAATGAGTTCATTTTTGAAATGATTGTCACAATGAGATTAATTTGCATAATGCCAAGCAGAAAAACACTAATGGAAATTGACATGACTAAATGAATATGAGTTGACATTATGTGTATCAAAGAAAATATACTCGTAATTTAGAATATATTTACACTTTGTTAAATGCATAGAAATATCCTTCAACAACGCATATTTGAATGCTAGCTCGAACTCGAAAGATTCCTGAACGTTTTGGAAAAGGTAAGGTGTATTCCATAGCAGGAAAGGCATTTTAACTTGTACAATGCCAAAACAAAACTGAAATTCTACAAATATAATTTGTTGCATATGAGCCTTTTGTAAATACATAATTATTGGTTATTGATTCGCTATTCATTGTATAAAAGACTAACTTGACCTAGAACAGAGATGTTTTGTGACTTTGAATAATTAATTTCAATTTGTTTAACAAATCTTCATGTTCCTGCTTTGCGTCTCATTTAACTTTTATAGGGTGAAGACCCTCTCACAGAGAATAATGCAACGCAGAGTGTTCATAATTTATGGAACGGAAAATTCGAAGGTAAGTATCATGAATATGTTATATACGTCAGTAGCGATGAGTGTAAATACATGCATGAACACAAACCGATAATACGTTATCGAATTACAGCAAATTATAGATAAGCCTATACCACATATTGAAGATTAGATTAAAATAGATAAAGTCGCGGATTTCATACATCACGTTGTGTATGTTATATCAGTCATGATTAATAATTTATAGTGGTTGGTTAGTGGCTGCACTCTCAACCAATTACTGTTGCTGTCTATATATATTCTGTGACAGTTTTGAGGGTTATTATATCACCTGTTGACAGCATTACTGTTTGTTATGAACTCCGGTGGGGTAAATTATAATTCACAGTCTGCAAGAAAACCTTTTTTTATAAGTTGTCTGAATCATGCGCTGTGAAGATCACATTTAATCCATGATGGCAAAGCAGCATTCAGGGTAAAATTGGTTGTATCTATACGGCAATTATAATTTACAGTTTATACTATACCGGTAATAATTGTTTTAAATCTAAAATACAACAGCACTAAAAATCCCACTTGTTGTTGTAACAGTTAGCAATTCCATGAAATGATACATACAAGAATATATTGAGTACCCCCTATCAGTATGAAGACACATTATCATGGAAAATTACCTATTTGGACAATCTAACTTTGGGGCAGCACACACGTACACAATTATTATATTGTTTGAACAGGGGCGCACGCAAGCAGATAAATTATACGATAACATGAAAGACTGTCGCCAAAACCGGTAGAGAAAGAAACATGAGTTAAATAATATTTGTAGTATAGTTCGTAAATAGCGAATTGTTATATGCATATTGCCGACCATTGTGACACAGTGTCATCATACACACAACTTAGTCAACAATAGAAGAGCAAAGCCATACTAATTTAAAATCGGTCATTTTGACAAAGTTAGATTATACGATATTCGTTCGATTCTGGGGTGATAAAATGGCTCTCAACTTGCGATGTCAACTGATGTCGTACTTCCTGTTATTTGCTCTATGGAATTACGGAAATGCATGGATTACAAATCGACCACAATTCAAGTGAAGTTTTGTTATGTGCAGCCAATGAAATGTGTAATGAATTACAGTGTTGCTTTGTTTTTGCAAATTTCTTTTCTGTCGATATTCTACACGGTGCAATACGCGACATATCACAAATTGAATATATTCCAAAAGTTGTTTATGGTCGTATATAAGACAGTGGGAATTCATTCACCATAACTTGCTGTACGGATAATTGAAAGTATTGATTTCTACAATCTTAATCAGGTTGTTACCGTAACTCTTAATATATAACAATTATACATGAAAAGGTTTAATTGTGCCGCACAGTGATACTGGCGACGTCAATCAAACGTACTTCAAACTAAATTTGTTGTAACCAGATATCCATATTTTACGTATGATACAATTTATAGTATTGCTTAAAACTATGCGGGTATTTTTGTTTGAATTCCCATTATATTTTAGAAAACTGTATCTGTGTTCCGTGTAGTTCAACTTGTATGTGTTGTAGAATGGCACATCTCCTTGTTCAAATCTGTAGATATATTCATGTCCTTGTCAGATAGATACCATAAATTATTGTCAATGACAGTGTGCATGCAATCATGTACATTTCTTTGACATTCACAACTTAATCATGATTTCCGATCAATATCACTATTATGATGTTTGATTAATTCTATACCGCATAACAATAGAAACAAAGGATCAATATATTACCTTTATTACTTTAATACATCAATGCATGTCATTATAGTGACTATCTGATCATGCTTTATTCGTCCAATTTGGTAAGGTCATGGTCATGGTTTCTTATAAGTAGATGATTGTGTGGCCATTGTATTTACTAATGTGCGTGCGTGTAAGAATGATTGTTTAAGAGATCATTGTGTTCCCAATATCTTACAAGTGAACTGCGAGAAATTCATTAAATTGTTTCTTTGGTTTCATTTGAAATAGTCGAATGACGGCCACGTCAATAATATTTGTTATTTAGGTTATGTTTTGTACACTTGCAGTTTCTAATGGTTTAGTCGTTTTGTTATTACCTGTGTAACTAGACGTTTCCTCGACCGAGAAGATTATGCTTTTTTGTTATGGTACATTTTATTAGCGATGTGGATCAGGTTATTATTTTTATTTACATTTCAAAACATTATGAATGGATTCTCGTGAAATTGTCGGAAGTGGTTGTCATTCACCGACCGAGTATTTAGGTTTTGGTGGTATGTGGATCCGGTTACTATGGAAACAGCAATTTCAAAAATGATTTTTCTTTACAGCTCAAACAGTAAATATTGGATTCTCATGCAATTTAGGGAAACAAACGACCAGTTTGATGCATTTAGACAGAGGTGGATGGTTAGAATCAGTAATAATTTAACTCACAAATTTAGAATGAATTTTCATGAAATTATTAGGAGGGTTTCCTCAAACCAGGGAGAGAGAATTTGATCACATTAACATGGAAACAATAATGTCTTAAATGATTATTCATTGCCTGGCAACTCAATAGAATGGGTGTGTAGCTGTGTGGGTGTGCGTGCGGACGTCTACATTACGGCGCTGATTGTTGCCATGGATATTGGCATTAAAGACATCTGGCTCAGGTTGACATCTTTTGCCAGTGCTGTCTAGTTTGTAATTATTTCCTTGCTGTGTGGCTTCCAGAATAGATCTACGGGTTTTTTGAACGTTTAAGAGTTAATCTAAAACACAGTGTCTGAATATCGTGAACACATGCACTAATCGACGGGCTCCAGGTTCAGTAATGGCAGAATTATTATTGAAACAGCTGGTAGCAAATTAACCTAACATATATTTTAATGCAATTTACAGTTGTACGTACTGAGCCTATCTGCGAGGAAACCGGGGCCTTGCAACTACCACCACATTTACAAACAGGGTCTATAGCACATGTTGAGTGGCTCGGTATTTACACTACCACGGTATCCACTGGCAAATATATCATTCAATAAAGCTACTTAATTTCACATCTCATAAAGCGTCTCCGGTGGTTTCTATGACGATTTCTTCAGCTGATGTTACGATTGTGGAATTTTTTGGTTGGACATGTTCATTGAACGTAGTCATATGAAAAAGTAACCGATTTACGTACCAGCAACAATACATATAATAATAATTTCAGGCGTGAAATCCGACCTCGATTATTTATAAACAATATAACCAATTGTACTGTAAGAATATTTATCACATCTTACTGCTGTTACGCATGTTGCGATTGGTTGAGACTCGGTCACATGACATTGAATACAAATGGATATTACATGGTATTTTGCCCGGCAAGTGGATATTACATGGGTATATCACATGGATGACGTCACTGAAAATACTGCGCAACGATACTGCGCATAACGAACACAATGCACAATCACATCTACCAGCAAGTTATTTAACCACTCGCCAGATAAAAATGTCGAAGTGCCGTGTAAGTGGCGGCTTTGCTGTACATTTTTGCTTCACATAAAAAATACTCTAAAAATCAAAACTGAGTCTTTTACTTAATACCCGTTATGGCACGTTAGCTTTTTATTTCGGATGGCTAAAGTTCTTTCAAAACCTTGACAGCAGCCCCGAAAACAACAGCGGCCGGGGCATCACCAGTGTAGCGAACGACAATTTGTTATGCGCAGTATCGTATACATTGATTTCAAGTGTTTTTTTATTCCATGCAACTTGTGTGTTTAATGTAAGTTTTTTTAAACGTATCTATACATAAATACTGGTCCAGGGAGTTTCAGGCTTTAATCCGAACTGCTTTTTCTCTCGCTAATACAATTTCAGAAAATAATATATTTTAAACTTTTTATAAATACGTTTATTTTTTTTAAGTAAATCGCGATTTATATCACTTGCTTCAACAATGTCGAAAACAATGTGACTTGAAGCGATTTATATTTGTGCTAGGCTTAGTCGGAATTGGGAACTGTGGGGAACATATGGATTTGCCTTTTTCGTCAATCATGTCAAGTCATCAGATATTGTAATGCGGGGCTGCTTCATTGAAAACATTATATTGTATATATGGCAAATTCAGTCAAAACTGGCGGGAACAAAAACAAAACAGGATTTCCAATCAAAACATACCAATTGCTGTATAACGGTCACAACATTAACAAAATTAAAAATTCATTTTGCGGCTATATACGAAACATCAATCCCAATTTGGAACTCCTTCCTTCCTTCTAAAGTTAATGCCCTTAGAAATATGTCTCAATGTGTTCTTAAGACGATTACAATTTATTAGCCGAGATACATAGCATACAGCAATTTTTAAATTATAAAGTGCAGATAGACATTCATATATATTTTAGTAGCTTCAAAAATAATCCGCTTTCAAAGCTTAACACGAGAGTTGTCTTCTTTCTTTTGTTTGAAGTGAAGTGAAGTGAGACTAAAACTAAAAACACGTGAGGTGTTTTGTTGATGTATCGTCTAATCTAGTAGTGTTGATTTCATGATGGACTCTTGGGAGTATTGATACCGCGTACCGCGTCAGACTATGACGTGTTAAGTATAGCATTCATACTAGACTAATGGTGCTACGGACAGGGTGTTCAGAAAGTGTAACGTATGAAGTATATATCTTTATATATTAAACCAATTTGGATGAAAAGATAGGTGTATGAGAGAAGAGAATGTTGTTCAGAACGTGTTTATGTGTTTGTGGAAAAAGTGGGATAGAGTCAACACATTTTTTTGAAAAATCACTACAGAGATTTTGACGCATGGGTCGATGTCATCGTTTTGAACTCGTCTACATGTATATGAGAATGCATGTTGTGAAAACAATGTAGTGAAAAGTTATAATACATTTCTAAATGTTAATAACTGGGTATCAATAATTATGCATCCATTAATGGCTTGCGATTTCACTTTGGTAAATTTATAACACAATATTTATCATAATCAGAAACTTCTATCTATAGTCAATATATGTTGGTCTTCATGTACGAGGATTGAATTATTCTGTTACAAACAAGCCATGCATGGCACAGTCATGGCACAGTTTGAACGAAATCCACTCATAAATGCTTGATATTTGATGATTTTTTAGTACAAAAATGACCACCATTCGGCCATTTTGAATGGGATAGTCAAACCAATATATCTGTTTATCTATGACATGATGTATAATGAATATATAAAATTTGAAAATATTGTCAGTCAAAACAAGTCGGAGATATTGGTCTAGAAGCCATTCATTAAAACAAAATGGCCGCCAGACAGCCATTTTGAATATGATCTGAAAAATAAATGTTGTGCATCAGTAACCTGTGATGTCTAATATATGTACCAAGTTTGAACGAAATCCATCCATAAATGCCAGAAATGCTTGATATTTGATGATTGTTCAGCACAAAAAGGGCCACCATTTGGCCATTTTTAATAGGATCTTCAAACCAATATATCTGTCTATCTATGACATGATGTATAATGAATATTTAAAATTTTAACATTATCAGTGAAAGCAAGTCAGAGATATGGCACGAGAACCACATTCATTAATATAAAATAGCCGCCAGTTAGCCATTTTGAATCTTATCTGAAAAACAAAATTATTTGCATCAAGGTCCCATAATGTCTAATGTATATACCAAGTTTGAACAAAATCCATCTGTAAACAGCCGAGAAATGCTTGATTTTTAGGATTTTTTAGCACAAAAATGGCCTCATTCGGCCATCTTGAATCAGATCGTAAAACAAAATGATGTACATCAAGGTCCTATAATGTCCAATGTATATAACCCAATCTGATTAAAATCTGATGTAGTGTACGGGCTTTAATTATTTTGGCTATAAACTTATTTTAATTTTATTTTTTATTACTTTTGTTACTAATGCCCTTTTATTTTATTTTATTTTATTTTATTTTATTTTATTTTATTTTATTTTATTTTATTTTATTTTATTTTATTTTATTATTTTACTTTGATTTTGATTTTGTGATTTTTTAAATTCCGCCCTACTTACATCTGAGCCGATACCTATGTAACGAGATTTCAACGAGACCCACTATCGGACGATTTTAGTCAACGAATCACATACCTCCTTCTATAACGCACATGATGACGTCACCG